GTCCGAAGAAGTCGACGCCGACGACCGTACCAGGCCCCTGCGGCAATGGCATAGCGATGACGGGCCACCGAGCAGTCTGACGTGAAGTCTTGCGAGCTTGACACACCAAACACGCCCGAAGCCACCAGCGCACGGAACGATTCAAACCAATCCACCAGCAGAAGCGCTCGAGGAGACGCTGTGTACGATGGACACCGAGATGAAATGACGCGGCGGTATGGCATGCATGAAGGACCCACGGACGCATCAGCATTGGCACGTAGACACGGGGCACGCCAGTATCCGGCAGACGAGTGGTCCTGCCGCCAGAGCGCCCAACCGGCGACGTCGCCGATTTATGTACGAGGAGGGTGATGTTGTCATCGGTCGTGTGCAGTCTGGTTTTCGCCGCCAACACAAGTACATCATCTAGCCGAGGGGAGCGAAGAGGAGCACAGAGAGTGAGCAAGCCCGGAGGGGGTGGGGAGGGAGAACCGCAAGACAAAAAACGCATAGCCACCACACACTCGCTCTCCCGCTGCTGTTCCCTAGCCCAGTCCATAGTACTGAAACTCTGAAAACAAGCCCGCAAGTGAGAGGTGTCCAAATCAGAAGATTTTGAAAAAATTTCAGGCAATCCAACGGGGCTAAAGGANATCCGGCAGACGAGTGGTCCCGCCGCCAGAGCGCCCAACCGGCGACGTCACCGATTTACGTACGAGGAGGGTGATGTTGTCATCGGTCGTGTGCAGTCTGGTTTTCGCCGCCAACACAAGTACATCATCTAGCCGAGGGGAGCGAAGAGGAGCACAGAGAGTGAGCAAGCCCGGAGGGGGTGGGGAGGGAGAACCGCAAGACAAAAAACGCATAGCCACCACACACTCGCTCTCCCGCTGCTGTTCCCTAGCCCAGTCCACAGTGCTGAAACTCTGAACACAAGCCCGCATGTGGGAGGTGTCCAAATCAGGAGATTTCGAAAACAAATCAGGCGATCCACAGGAAGAGGCGGAAGAAGGCGAAGCCTCAGCGACTGGGGCAGCCGCAGTCCGTGGTGATGTCTGCGAAGGGGACATCGTGAGGGGCGAAGTCCCTGGCGAAACCTGTAGAGAGGGCGAAGCCGGGGATGCAGGGCGCGCCGCTGACGGCGAAGAAACCGGTGGCGCGAGAGCAGTCGACGAAAACGCCGATGCCGGCGTTGCGGATGGCGGCAGCAGACGCGCGGCGGTCCGGGTGGTCTTGTTTGTCGAGCGGGACCTGCTAGAGCGACGGGCAGGCGACGATGTCCGAGGGACGATGGTAGCCCGCGGCTGGCGTCCGAAATAAGCGGGACCGGTGACGGTGCCTCCGGAAACAGCGGTAGTTTTGGCCCGAGTCCGTGAAGAAATGAGCGGTCCCTGCTCCGGAAGCGAAGACAAAACGTGCACAAATCTAGTCGCCAAAGATGCGGCAGGAAACATCACGCGGGAAGNCGGCGTTGCGGATGGCGGCAGCAGACGCGCGGCGGCCCGGGTGGTCTTGCTTGTCGAGCGGGACCTGCTAGAGCGACGGCAGGCGACGATGTCCGAGGGACAATGATAGCCCGCTGCTGGCGTCCGAAATAAGCGGGACCGGTGACGGTGCCTCCGGAAACAGCGGTAGTTTTGGCCCGAGTCCGCGAAGAAATGAGCGGTCCCTGCTCCGGAAGCGAAGACAAAACGTGCACAAATCTAGTCGCCAAAGATGCGGCAGGAAACATCACGCGGGAAGCATCAGAAGTCAATGGGGAAGCAGGCCCTGAAGATGCGAGAACAGGCGAGACGACGAAGACCCCCGGGGACCGCCGAGAATTCTCGCAGGCAATCGTTGAGTCCGTCAGAGCATTCAACCGACGCGGGTGATGTCGGCGAAAATCCCCAAAATCGGAGGGCTGCAACGCTGGGGGCGAAAAGACTCCCGCCGTGCAAGGAGGGCGGAGCCCACCCAAACCGACCTCCGGTGTAGGTGACGAGTGAAAGTTGCGCCCGCAAGCCCAAATGAGGAAAACACCCGCTTGATCGACACCATGAATGCAGTCGGGGCCGGTTTTGTCAGTGTCTTGTGCTGGTAAAGGCAACCGCGAAAGAAAATCCGCGTTGCCGTTTGCCGGACCTTTCCTATATTTTAGGGTGTAGGGGAAGTTGGACAGGAATTCGAGCCATCGTTGCACCCCAGCGTTGTGTTCCACAACCTTGCCAATGCTCTCCAAGGCTTTGTGGTCTGAATAGATGATGAACTTGGTCGACCACAGATATCCGCGAAGGCGTTTGATGGCCCAAACAATGCCACCAGCCTCCAGATTCAAAACGGTCCAGTTACGCTCCGCAGGAAGATAAGCGCGGCTGATGTACACGATGGGTCTCACCGAGCCATCGAGCTGTTCTTGTTCCAAGGAGGCGCCAAAACCGTCGATACACGCGTCGAAACACAAACAAAGAGGACGCCTGTTGTCCTCGATTGCTGCCCAATCCGGGAAGACCAAAATCGGGGGGCGAGCGCGTTCGCTTAACAACGCTTTGACAACCTTGACCATGCCCGGCATGTACTTGAAGGGAACGCCTTGTTTGAGAAGAGAGTTGAGAGGCCGCACCTTGGTGGTGAGATTCTTGAGGAATTTCCAGTAGTATCTGAGTCCACCGAGAAGGCTCCGAAGCTGCTTAACGTTCGTCGGCGGCGGTATGTGCGTGAGCGCCCTAACCTTAACGCCATCAGGGCTAACACCTGCCGGAGAGATGGTGTAACCGAGAAAGTTGGCGTGCGTGGCGCCGACGCGAGCCTTCCCTGGAGAAAGTTTGAGGTTGTACTGTCGCAGTCGTTTGAAGAACTCGATCAAGTTTAGCACGTGTCCCAGAGGTTCCTCATCGAAACAGAGGACATCGTCCAGATAAGCAAGCACACGCTCCAGACCGTGCACCACTCTGTTGATGACCTTGACGAACCAAGACGGACTTGCGTTGGCGCCCTGCGGCATCCGAAGCCATTCGAGCAACTGCGTGGGAGTGCAAAAGGCGGTGAGCGGGACAATGTATTCATCACAAACGATCTGGTGGAAAGCCGAGTTGAGGTGATGGAGAACACCTTCCCGGTGTAGAGAGAATCCAAGATACCGTCCACTCGAGGGAGAGGTTGTCCATCCAGATCCACCAGAGCGTTGAGACGTTTGTAGTTGACGGTGATGCGAACAGATCCGTCCGTCTTGGGGATGACAACTAAACGAGAGGCCCAAGGAGATGTGGAACGTTGAATGAGCCCTGCCGCCAAATACTGGTTCAAAACGGCATCCACTTTCTTTTGCATCAACGGGTTGATACGATAAGGGCGTGATGCAACGGGCTTCGTCCCTGCTGGGACAGAAAGCGTGAACGGCATGATGGTGCAACAACCAAAATCGGTTTTCGAAGTAGAGAACACGTCAGAACA